ACACACACACACACTAACCCCAACAGTATTACAGAGTTAAGAAAACATACACATAATAATTTTATAACTCACTTCCGCTACCTTCATTTGTTTTCCGCGGGGTCATTTTGTTTACGCTGTCGTTATGGTAACTTTAATTATCTCTAGTTACGATCTTTTATTTATATTATTTATTGGTTTATTTATTTTGTTTTTTATTGGTTTAATTTTGTTTTGTTTTATTTATTTATTTATTTATTTATTACAACCTAAGGTGGGTTTTTTGTTGTCAGTGTTAGTATAGGCTGATGTGGTTTAAGGGTTTATTTTCATCATCAAGGGGTTAAACAATCATTCTCAGGGGGGTTAAACCATCATGCTCAAGGGATTAAACTACAATACTCAAAAGTTTAAATCATCATAATCAAAGGGTTAAAACATCGTCCTTAAGGGGTTAAACCATCATCATCATCATCATCATCACCGGATTAAACCACACTACTTAAAGAATGTTTTAGAATAGATAAAAAAACAAACAATCGTAAATAGAGCAATACAATAACAGAAAATACATTACCTGTTTCTTATACATAATTACCTATAGCGGGAACACCTGTACTACCTGTAATCAAGAGTGTTATGAATAGATCAGATTGGTGTAATATATATAAGGCCTTGTAATTGAAGTGTTATTAAGATATTATGGCTACAAGAGAGGTAATTAGTCTCCAGGTGTCAATGTCATGGATGTTATGTTATGTCAGGGTAATTAAGGTGATGTTGAGATGTTATTAATGCAGGTAATTAGGTTGCTGGGGTCAGTGTCATGGATTCTGTGCTTGGTAGTTAGGGGTGTGGCTGTGGATAAGGGTGTGGCTGTGGATAAGGGTGTGGCTGTGGCTGAAGATGTGGCTATGGCTGAGGGTGTGGCTGTGGCTGAGGGTCTAGCTGTGGGATTTGCTGTGGTTAAGGGTGTGGGTGTGGCTGAGAGTGTGGCTATGGCTGAGGGTGTGGCTGAGGCTGAAGATGTGGCTATGGCTGAAGCAGAGGGTGTGGCATATCAACAAATATCTAAGTTAATATCTATATATGTCACCAAGATGGAGTTAATAATTACATAAATGACTGTAACTGTAACTCAATAACTGTAATTAACTGTTAACTAAATTACTGCAGGTATCCGCTGTACGGGTGACTGTAACTAATTATTAACTGGATAATTAATTTCTGGTAAAGATTATTATTATTAATTAGTCTTGACCTCTCAGGAATTACCAGATTGGGTCAGTGTAATTTAGGTCTCATTAAAGTAATCAACTGTCGTGTAAGGTCACTAATTGGGTGCTAATTAATGAGTGGTAGTTATCGTCACTTCTCTAGGCCAATGAGTGACAGCGTGTTGGCCTGACTTCTTCTTCTGTCATCGTTAACATACCATAACTACTACCACTATCTACCTTCCCTACCTTATCTACCTACTTCCCTGTTACCTACCTACCTACTGACCTACTTCCCCCTTGCGTCCGTCTGAATGTGCGTGCGTCGGTAATAATGCAACCCTATTACTTGTTTCTCTCCCTCCCTTTCTCCCTCCCTCTCTCCCTCCCTCTCTCCCTCCCTCCCTCCCTCGGGAAGGACTCGTGGCTGTCGGTGATAGGTAACAGACAGACAGACACGCAGATGAAAAACTTCCGGTTATTGGTTAAGTCGTCAACCCATGCGAGCTTTGACGTCACACCCACGACACGCCCACATATTACGTAAGGGTGCCGTCTTTCTGTCCATCTACCTGTCTGTCTGTCTGTTTTTTCTTAGTTTCTGTTCATTTGTAGTAGTAGTAGTAGTAGTAGAAGTAGTAGTAGTAGTAGTGGTGGTAGTAAAGTAGTGGAATAGGAGGGGAAAGGACGAGTATAGGTTCATTCGTGTTAATTTGTCAACATTGTATACGTCTTCCCAGGAGAGGGGTGTATTTTTTTCCCCTCACCTCCCCCCTCACCCTTCCCCGCCCTCTTACCCTTCCCCGCCCTCACCCCTCCGCCTCCCCCCCCCCTTCCCCCGCCCTCACCCATTCACAACACCCATTTACTATCATGACATCATATTCTGGTGTTGACATTTAAGGCGTTTCTATCTGTTTGTATCTTGTTGTTATATGTATTTTTTTTGGTTTGTACTCTAAGTAAGTCTTTACACTTGACAACAACTTAATACAAAAAAAAAAATCTTCCTTCGTATCTGGGGTAAAAAAAGTCAGAAAAATGGCGGGAAGATTTTTGGCGATAAAACAACGACACATTCAAGTGACATCTGAAAACCCGTACGTGTATTAATAATTCTCTTGTTATTTTGTTGTTTTATTTTGTTTTCGTAAAAGTTTTGTGTTTGTTTTTTAATAGTGAAATTGAAATTCTGGTGTATGTGTGTGTGTACTTTTTTTACGGCTGTTATGAATGTCTATTGTATATTTCACGTGACCGTGGTGAGTAGGAGGAGCGGTGGTGACGTCTCGTGCCAGGCTATATGAGTGCTCGCGTCTTGGTTGACTTCTGAAGGAGGGACTTTCCACCAAATTGGTCTGTCTCTCAAATCATTTTTCACAGTGAAGGGAGAGAGAGAGAGAGAGAGAGAGCCTCCACCACCACCACCACCTTAAGGCAAATTTCTTTCTCGACGTCGAACCTTTGATTTCCTACTTGGGAGGAACAGAAAATTGCTGCCCCATTGTTAGTGTCGCTGTGTCATTGTGTGTGTGTGTGTGTGTGTGTGTGTGTGTGTGTGTGTAGGTAACGTCTTCCCCCTCTTCTCTTACCTCCTCCTTGCGCCATAATAACTTACTCCTTTACACCACATTAACTTATATATTCGTAGCTTGAGACGTGAGAAAATAATCTCCTCCACAAATGTTGAGAAATGGAGACTTGTGTTGAAATGAAACGAGTCGAGGGAAGCTAATTACTATATATGTTCCAGGTAGAGAGACTCACAGGTATACCTCAGCATCATGGAATAATAATTAGGTTGATTTTTGTTTATGTCGTAATACTGTACTTGATGACGCCTCGAACAGCTGACCAACCAACAACAACAACTTGACACATGTCGCCAGAGAGAATGATTTGCTCGTGAAAATATCTTCTTCTCATTTTAAAAAGTCAATCGACCTATAAATCCGCACCGCAACCTACTCCACTGCCTCAACCACGACTGATGTGGGGGTTCCGCGTGCGGTAGTTGGTGTAACCGCCCGTGGGACTCTTTCCGCATCTCACACAAAGTCATTAAAAAATACTCCGGCGGATAAGTGTACTGTCTGGCCCAGCCTACGTGCACACACACACACACACACAACACACACACACACACACACACACACACACACACACACACACACACACACACACACACACACACTCAAAGAAAAAATGGTTTAATCCTGAGAGCTACCGTCGTATAAGTGACTAACAATAACACCAGGACAACACCACCAGGCACCAGTACCGTTAACCACCTTGTCCAGGACGACGTAAACCAAGTCTATGTCTCTTCCCTGAGTGTCTTGGTGAGGTCTTCGTCAGCGCCTCCTTCACCATCCCTACAGAGAGAGACCACTAGACTGTGAGAGGGCGGGTGAGGGTAGGTGAGGACTGATGAGAGCAGGTGAGAGCTAGGGTCATCCTCAGGTCAGACTCCCGCCGCGTGATCACAGTCCCTTTATCAAGACTTTCAATTACACCATAGCGACGACAACGACCGGAAACTACAGCAATTATGAAGCTCCCAGACGTGAGAGTGCTTTTGCCGTCAGCCAGGGGAGGGAGGGTGTGTATAAAATCCCTTGGTGGTCGTGTTTATAAAGTCCCTTGATGTTCCTGCTTATTAAGTCCCCCGATGGTCGTGTTTAAAACGTCCCTTGATGGTCGTGTTTATAAAGTCCATTGATGGTCGTATTTATAAATTTCCTTGATGGTTGGCTCTGCAGGGTCTCTTGGTGTTTATGAGACTGTAAATACAAACATCAAGGGACTTTATAAACGCGAATACCAAGGAACTCTAAAAACACGACCTTCAAGGGACTTTATAAACACGAACATCAAGGAACTTTATAAATACGAACATCAAGGAACTTTATAAATACGAACATCAAGGGACTTTATAAACACGACCATCAAGGGACTTTATAAACATGAACATCAAGGGACTTTATACACACTATCTTCCTGCACCCCCTACTCCACGAACATCAAGGGACTTTATAAACACAGGAGGGACTAGAGGAGAGAGGGGTAACTAGCCTAAACAAGGAGAAAAGCGACACTCACCCACTATACTTCTCACGAGTCTGGGATCACTCTGGACCACCACCTACCCATGCGAGGCGCCCAGGGGAGACGGATCACCCACGAGATGACGGCGTGTGGGAACCTCTGACACGCATTGCCAGGGGGGATGGTGAGAAACTGGGAGTCCTATACCGCCTTCTGGAGTCCTACACCACTTTTAGGAGTCTTTCACCGATTTTAGGAGTGCTATATCGCCTTCAGGAGTCGTGCACTACCTCCAGGAGTCCTACACCACCTCCAGGAGTCCTACACCACCTTCAGGAGTCCTACACCACCTTCAGAAGTCTTACACCATCTTCAGAATTCCTACACCACCTTCAGGAGTGCTACACCACCTCCAGGAGTCCTACACCACCTTCAGGAGTCCTACACCACCTTCAGGAGTCCTACACCACCTTCAGAAGTCTTACACCATCTTCAGAAGTCCTACACCACCTTCAGGAGTCCCACACCACCTTCAGGAGTGCTACACCACCTCCAGGAGTCTTACACCACCTTCAGAAGTCCTACACCACTCACACAAATCATCAGCATAATTACATTGATGTATCGCCTTAACTAGATACCTTCACTCAACACTTACCCACGAACACACTTATAAACACACTCACGTACTCTTGACACACACACACACACACACACACACACACACACACACACGCACACGCACATCTCGGCACCATGGATTGGCCTCGGTACACTACAATTTACCCAGACAAGAGCGAGCCTAAACATAGACATCTGGTGCCTGAAATACTGCCTCTGGGATCATACTCCGCGCACCTTACTACCACAAAGGGAACGAGAGTGAACATTATCGACATCTACCTACTCAGTTGTGCCTTTGGACGTTCATGCTGTGCCTCAGTTTTGGGTAGATATGATGATATGGTAGTTACACACACGTACATACATACACACACACACATATACACTGACTCATGCGCTCACTCACTCACTCACTCACTCACTCACTCACTCACACACCAGCTTTATAACCGGGTTTTCTAGGTCTATATAACTCCACGTGTTATAGGGATAATTATATACTATACTAATATATAGCGGTTATATTACCTTCCATATAATATTATAGAGTAGTTATTATTGAAGTACTCAGTTATGGCAGAGTACTAGATTATATGGTGTTGCAGAGTACTGGTGTATGTTAAGGTGGTGTAAGTCCAGCCGCAGTCAGTTATACCAGTAGTGTGTGTGTGAGGGATATATATATACTATGCTTATTATTATTATTTTATTACTTCTTCTTCTTCTTCTTCTTCTTCTTCTTCTTCTTCTTCTTCTTCTTCTTGTTCTTCTTCTTCTTCTTCTTCTTCTTCTTCTTCTTCTTCTTCTTCTTCTTCTTCTTCTTCTTCTTCTTCTTCTTCTTCTTCTTCTTCTTCTTCTCCTTCTTCTTCTTCTTCTTCTTCTTCTTCTTCTTCTTCTTCTTCTTCTTCTTGTCCTTCTTCTTGTCCTTCTTCTTGTCCTTCTTCTTCTTCTTCTTCTTCTTCTTCTTCTTTGTGTGCAATACGTTTTTACATTCTGTTTAAGGAGGAAAATATTTATCTGTCAAATCTTTTAAGACATTCGACTGGTCATCGTGAGTCAGACATAAACTGGACATTTACACACACACACACACACACACACACACACACACACACACACACACACACACACACACACACACACAACAGTTAGAGAGCGTGAAGTGTGTATGTGTGTGTGTGTGTGTGTGTGTGTGTGTGTGTATGTTTCTTGTCTTCTATCCCAGTGTCTCGTTAACCAGTTTTTGTTTTTTAAAAGACCAATTTATTGCTTTATTTTTTCAACTATTGTTTATCTTCTTGTTCTTTTGTTTTCATCATTTATATTTATTCATTGTTTCGTCTATTTTTTATTTTGTTTTGTTTTTGTTTTATATTTCATTTGTTTTTTCTTTTGTTTTTTTTAGGTACGTGTTTTGTGTGTCTGTCTGTCTGTCTGTCTGTCTGTCCGATCCCACCTGTGTCGATAACCTGGTAAGACCTCATCTGTTGTATTATTCCTCACACACCTGTAGTTCACACCTGTCGTATTTTTGATCACACACCTGTTAGCATTGGTACTTAATACACCTGTTACTCACACACCTGTTGTTATGTATAAGAGAGAGGAGGGGAGGGAGAGGGAAGGGGTTGAGGTGACGAGAGGGGAGTGGAGATGGGACGAGAGGGGTGAGAGGGGAGCAGGAGAGAGGGAGAGGAAGGGTAGATCACCGCTACCATTATCCACTCTACGTTAAACTACGGTGAAAGTTGACGACGTTAGTAACATACCGTACATGTGAATCTGAAAGTTGATTTTTGGTCATAAAGTACGTTTCCACCTCACTTGTTACAATGACGCAGTCGAGAGTCACTGAGAACCTGCAGGGGGCTGTGGAGGGATGGGCCTCTCTCTCTCTCTCTCTCTCTCTCTCTCTCTCTCTCCCTTTAACCTTTCATCATTATGCAGGAAGGATCGCGTACCCCACTGCATGACGTCAGTGAGGCTTAGTAGAACGATCTCAAGCTAGGGCTACTGTAAGTAATATATGTTTGGAGAAAATGTGGAAACTCTGATTCAACTTTTTTTTTTGTTACTTTTCCTTGTGAGGGGAGAAATCTGTGTTTTTGTTTTCTTTTGTCATTGTGTGTAATCATAATACCCGTACGGTACGGTTTTGTTATTTACATAGTATGGTGCAGCAGCTAGTTTTTCATTTCCAACGGATTCGCTCAGATTCCACGATTCTAGTTCCTGTTCAAACAAATTCCTTGATCTCAGAGACCTCTATGAAGAAAACTCTCTGACTGTATTCTGATGCTCAATGTATCCTTCTTCAAATACTGTCTAAGGGATGTGATTCTCTTTTAGTTAAACAAGTGAGCATCGTCTCAATAGGTGTCGGTCGTATACATAAAGCGGGTTTAGCTAAGCCTCATATCTCGTCTGTTATTGTGTTTATATTTATTAGCCAATAAGAGTGTGAGTTAGTTAGTTATTTGTTGTGTTATTGTTATACTTGTTTATGTTATTGTTATTATTATTATTATTATTATTAGAGTCTATGGACGTTTTTAACCATAAGTGTTTTGTTTTTCGTATCCTGTTTCCGTCCTAGTTCATCTCTCTCTCTCTCTCTCTCTCTCTCTCTCTCTCTCTCTCTCTCTCTCTCTCTCTCTCTCTCTCTCTCTCTCTCTCTCTCTCTCTCTCTCTCTCTCTCTCTCTCTCTCTCTCTCTCTCTCTCTCTCTGTCTCATGACCCTCCGGAATGAATAAATAAGCAACTAGTTAACCTTCAGTGACCTTGACCCTCACCCCCTCCCTTCCCCATATGGTTAAGGACAGGTTGCACGGTCAGTTATACATATCTTGTAATTAATTTTACTTTCGTACACCTGTCCTACCTGACCTCCCTCGCCTACCTGTTTAGTATGGAGTGGGGACTGGTTCTTAGTTGTGAGGGTTGGAGTGAGGCTGGTCCATAGTTGAGAGGGGTGGAGTGGGGGCTGGTTTTTAGGTGAGAGGGTGGAGTGGGGGCTGGTTTTTTAGAGTGAGAGGGGTGGGTGAGGGAGGCTAGTCCTAAGTGAGAGGTGTGGTGGGGCTGGTCTGGCAGGACCTGATGGGGTTGGATCTTAGGTGAGAGGGTGGAGGGGGGCTGGTCCTGAAGTGAGAGGGTGAATTGGGGCTGGTCCTGAAGTGAGAGGGTGGAGTGGGGCTGGATCCTTAGGTGAGAGGGTTGGAGTGGGGGTTGGTCCTTGGGTGAGAGGGTGGAGTGGGGCTGATTCTTGAGTGGGAGGGATGGAGTAAGGAAGAGGGCTTTAAATTTCACCACATAAAACTAATTCGCTTAAATTGGCTAAAATATCACCCGTCTCTTCAACCACTCAAACTGTATTTAACTTTTGTAATTTAATAAACAACATAACAATATCCCGTTATTTATCGTCATATCCCGTTATTTATCGTCATATCCTGTTATTTATCGTCATTTTAACAATAACATAACATTAGCACTTTTTTGCTACTTTTACATCCTCCCCTGAGTTATCATCATTGCTAGATAATATCAACCAAATTGAGAACTTAACCGCTAACCAAAATTATTCCTTAGCGAAAAACTGTCTCCCCCCCCCGTACTCTAAATTGCTTTTTTAAATATGCAAATGAGTTGATGATTTAATGTTTTACTTTCCATCTTTTCAAATTATCCAATGAGCATTAATTATTTTCTTCTGTGTCACAAACTTACAGGGGAAAGTATAAATTGATCTGTAAGTTAGCACCTTTCCGCTAATCTTCTATATTAGCGCTGAGTTAGCACCTTTCCGCTAAATTTTATCTACTAGAGCTGAGTTAGCACCTTTCCGCTAAATCTTCTCTTTTAGCGCTGAGTTAGCACCTTTCCGCTAACCTTAAGGGGGATTATTGAAACACCTGACTAATGGGGAACCTGTTTTGTTGATGAGTTTTAATATACCTGTATGATGGTTCAATTATACCAAGTTATTATACAAGATGGGTGGTGAATATTATACTACCTGTTGGTTACCGTCTACCTGTTGGCTACCATCTACCTGTTGGCTACCATCTACCTGTTGGCTACCATCTACCTGTTGGCTACCATCTACCTGTTGGCTACCATCTACCTGTTGGCTACCATCTACCTGTTGTCTATCGTCTATCTGTTGGCTGCTACCATCTACCTGTTGGCTACCATCTACCTGCTGTTGGCTAACATTCACCTGTCGGCTACCATCTACCTGTTGCCACCATCTACCTGTTGGCTGTATTCACCTGTTGGCCACCATCTTACCTGTTGGCCAACACTCACCTGTTGGCCACATCTACCTGTTGGCCACCATCTACCTGTTGGTCACTGGTTCAATTGTTGGCTACCATCTAACGTTGGCTACCATCTATCTGTTGGCTACCATCTACCTGTTGGGCTACCATCTACCTGTTGTCTACCATCTTCCTGTTGTTCACCATCTACCTGTTGTCATCACTATCAATTGTTGGCTACCATCTCACTTGTTGGCTACCATCTACCATGGTTGGCTACCATCTACCTGTTGGCTACCATCTACCTTGTTGTCTATCGTCTATCTGTTGGTTACTGTTATTACTGCTGATCCTGTAGGGCGTTTTTTTTTTTTTATTATATAGTTAACCAGATACAGAGAGAAAACGGTGGGTGGGTTTATGTGGGAATAATGACCCTTGTGTGTGTGTGTGTGTGTGTGTGTGTGTACGTCCGCCAGTCTACGCATAATTAGACCAATTTGTTAGTGTAGAGACCAGCTGCCTTTAAATGTTCTAGGTGGAAAGATTCTTCTTCTCTCTTCTCTTCAGCATCTGTCCCTATTAAGTACTAGTAGAGAAAATAGGACCGATGGATAGGATAGAGAGAGAGAAAGAAAGAAAGAGACAAACAGAGAGAGAGAGAGAGAGAGAGAGAGAGAGAGAGTACTTGCGTGGTTTACAAAGACGATTTATGACACAGGTAATGTAAGTGTTGTAAATGACTGTAAACATGGAGGCTTCCTTAGTGGTGGGGGTAGGCTTGTTGTACAGCAGCCGGGAGGGAAGGGGGAGGGGTGGAGGGAGAGATGGATGGATGGAGGAGAGAAGGAAAGAAGAGGCGGAGGGAGGAAAGGAGAGAAGGGGTGAGGGAGGGACGAGGGATGTACAGGTATGCCAGGGGTCATTAGCCAGGTAGACTCACAGGTGTCAACTCATTAGTTCCTCCTCACTAGACTTCACAGGTGGCGTCAGGTATATCACGCCATTGTCCTTCCTTTAACAGGTCGTCCTTGAGGTAGATTAGCATACCTCTATGTTCCCAGGT